GTTCCGTATGTGTTTCAAAATGTCTTTTAAATTACTAACAACAAATATGAAAGACTAAGTGCAACGTTGTAACAAATTTCATTTCCATCCAAGTTAAGAATGATATGACTCATCGAAAACTGCGCGAACGAACATAAACAGTGGCGTAATCGTCCGTTATCGACCGACTCCAGACCGATTTTGAATTTCTAAACTGTCATTGCAATGGACAGTTGAGATTGTGCTCTGGAGGAAACAATTTGTATTACTCTTGCTACGGATATAATTTGTATTCTGGAATTTTTTGCATACCTTTTTAATACATATTTAATTGCGGCTCGCGAAAAATTTCAAATTTTGAAAAATGGCTCAGACTATAAAGGAGCTTAGCCACCCTGGTCATAGACTTTGGAAAGCTAAATGTTTATAATGAAAGTCACTTAGCGTGCACAGGTGAAAGCCTAGGGCCGTTCGTGCTACCAAGCTGTCTCAAATATGTGAAATCATAACTGACTTATACTGACATCCTCTCTGTCTCTTTTCTCTGTTATCACCAGGCTATGAGTCACGTAATTGTAAAATGGGAAATCTACGACGGAAAAGTAACGAACCGAAAGTATCGTGAGTGCGTATTATGATGTATGTATAGGCATACGTGGACTAGAGCCATAGAGGAAAGAGAAAGGGAAGAGCAAAGACGAGCGCCCAAAAAGAAGGATAGGCAGGGTCAGACCCTCAGATGTGCGACGATTCTCGAATGAATAGGTGTGTACGTGTGCTGATCTTTGTAATTATAAATTGTGAATACATGTGACTAATATTATTTTCTTTTTTATTTTGTGCATGTTATAAGTTATAAATAAATCTAAACAAACAACACTAACCCAATAACATTAACAGTATAAAATTATCTTGTATATTTAACACAGTATAATAATCAGTTTATGGTATAACTTTTATAGTGAAATAAGACCAACACATATAACAGATTCTCAGTTTTAAGTAATAAATGCAATCTTTACTGCATTTACTTTTTATAAATTTAATTTTTACCACACAGTGCTAAAATATATCATTTTAGCACTGTAAAAGAATTATGAAAAAAAGATTTTACGTTTTTTGTAGAAGCTCGATGCTCTCTTTTGGTACATCAACACGAGTTACAAGCACGGAAAAACGTTGAGCCATTTTAACAGATGAATAATGCTACTAAAAAATTAATTCATTTAACAATTTAAATAAAACAAGTTGATAAATATTCCATATAAAAGAACACTACCTTAATGCCGATAAAAGCGTATCTACACCCTTTAAAAAGCATTATATCATGCTTTAAAATTCATATTTATTCTTCCTATCTCACGATATTAAAAAAGATTAAAACATAAGATATAAGCAAACACGACTTTATTCCCATTTGTTTTTTGACTATAATCACATGTTTTGTCTAAGAGATGAAACCTGACATATTATTGGATGAATTTCTATCGGATAGCCAATGAGATTGCTTATAATAAAAGCGTACGTTTAGTGGTGTTCATTCGAAACACGTGTCGAGTTAAGATGGCGGTCGTGTTGGTTCGTGCATATTGTAAATATTTACGAAATAACCAATAGGAACGACATTTTGTTCGATAAATTTGTTGACTATTTCGTCAGTTATAAAATATATATTTAAATTTGGTTTAATTTATTGAATTTAAGACAGAAAAATGAAAACAAGAAGAAGAAATTATTCATCTCCCAATATTCGCGAGAGTGAAGGTAAATCTAAAAAGGAATTATCCGTTAAAGGTAGGAACAGCAGAAAAGCAAATTTGACTCCGTCTGTAAAAGATCATGACATAAATATTGAATCAAAAAGGGTTAAGAAATCTACACAAAAGCAAATTAAGAGCGGAGGTAAAGAAAAAAAGATTGACAACAGTGTTGAAGCTTTCCCTTCTTCAGATAAGAAAAGAAATAAATCTGTGAATAAAAGAAGTAGTATGTCTAAAAAAGAAAATGATATAACTATATTGGAAAAGGAAGAAAGTGCCATACAAGATGTTATTAGCGAGACAGATGCCCACTTAAAGTTTGAAGAAAGAGAAAATTTGGATGGCAACAGTACTCCAAATCTAAGAAAAAGGCATTTGAGAAACACTGTTAAATCATGTATTAACAGTAATAAAGCAGGAAACTTAAAAAATAAAAATTCCAAAAAAAAGGAAATTACCAAACACCATAAAGAAGAAAAAAGAATTTCTCAAGAGGACAAGTATATTGAGAAAAGTAATGATAATTTAGGTATGGAAACAAAATTAGATCTTCCAATTAAGAAAAGGCAAAAAGGAATTAATCAAGAAGATAATGAAAATGAAGAAAGTCAGAAAGATAAGAAAAATATAAACAAGATATCATCAAAGAAAAGAAAAAATGATATTGAAAATTTTGAAAAGAAAACTGAATCTGACATAAGTATAAAAGATGATTTATATGGCAAACAAGAAAATTCTGCAAATGAATTATTTATAACACAAGATAAAAGTGAAATTTCATCTTCAATCAACAAGAAAACAAAGAAAGAAGAAAATAAAGTTAAATATTTAGATACAACTAATTATGGAAGGAGAAAAATAAATATTCAGGGTATTATTATTGAAGAAATTGAAAAATATGATGCAGATAAAGTTTGTATGGAAAAGAAAAGTAATTCTGAAAGTGAAGCATCTGAAACAAAAGAAACTTTAAGTAAAAACACAAAAATAGAAAATACTGTACATGCCAGTGGTTTCAATGACGATCAATTTTTTATAGATACTACACCATCTTTATCACTTTTGAACAATACAGTAAGTGAAAGTCAATCGAAACAGTATGATGAGATTGAGAATGACATTCAATACTGTCATAAAAAAATGAAATCTCACTCTGTATTTGATGATGATCAGAAAACTTTTAAGAACAAATCCAATGAAAAACATACACCTGCACATGATAAAAATATTACAAATGAGTTAAAGAAAGATGATAATATATGTGGCAAAGATGGTGTCCATGAATTCAATCAAAAAGAACCTGATAATGACAATATAAATAAATCCGATGGTGACAGTGATTCAGCGCCTGAAATAGAATCATTTCAAAATAGTAGAAATAAAGCATTAAATTCTATAAAAAATGCTGAAGATGAGGTTAGAAAAATGAAACTTCAAACAAAGAAATTAAGGAGAAAATACCACGAAAGAAATTTAATGCAAAAAGAGCAAAAGGTATTTTTATTTATGGTCAATATTAATTTAATGAACCTAATTTTTAAACAATAATTATTTTAAATTCTTTGTGCTTTGGATACTAAGAAGGCCTTGACTTTTCAAGTTCATTATGGATTTGGCCAGGCCTACAATAGGATTTTTACATAGCTGGATCATATTAGGGCTTGATATATCTGGGTAATATTTTAAGAAACATGTTTCATTCCTTTGTTACAGTTCTCTTAACAAATTCTCCATTATTTTCTCAAGTTTGTAACAATCTTGGAAATTGCTAACTTTGCATCATTCTACTGCTATAGGTAATCCTGGATCAAAGTTGGATGAACAACTCCCCAAAAATTTTTAATGGTTAGTCTGGCTCAGATATGTCAGGCTCTGTCCCTCACCCTTACCATCTAGCCATCTCTCATTGTGGGCCTGGCCAAATCCATTTTGAGTGTAAGACAAAGTAAAATTCTCTTACTGCTCTAGAAAATCCTTAAAGAATTCTTAATGACAATGCATCCCCTATGCTTCCATACCATGAGACTGAAGGGTCGGCACCACTTTGTTGATGCCATGTCAAGATTCTGACACCACTGTGTCTTTAAGGACAGACACAGAAGCCTTGATAGCTGCTAATTTTGTTTTGTGCAAGCAGTTGCAAAGACTGTCTGAGAGTCAGCGTGCCCAAAAGAATTGCTCTCACCTACCGGGTTAACGTCAATAAATATCCGTTTATTCATATATCTATTTACACATATAAGGTTAAGAGCATGAGAGAGAGTTTATACTTGTGCACGTGAGGATAAATACCTGTAGTTGTTATACACTTGATAAGCTGGTTCCTTGTTTCTTGATTATGTAGATGGCCTCTAGATTCATCTGGATATTAGACATTTTGATAGTTCCTCAGAGATCCTCAGAAGGCAGGTAGGAAGATGGCAGGTTGACCCAGGCTGCAATGATGGTTGATAGGGAGGATAAATCCAAGACTGGAGTAAACACTGGTCAACCAACTCTCAATGACAAATGAACTCTCTGTCATCCTTGATCCTGTGCTTTTATTTTGGGGCCCTCCCCTCACTTATTTTGGGGTCCTCCCCTCATGCCCTTTTTTGGTAAATTGTCAAGTCCATTTCCAATAGCGATTTTTTTCCATTAGTTCCCAGTGACACATCCAGAAGATGTGTCACTTCTGGACAAGGAAGAAAGTCCATGGAAGAAATCACAAAGTCACATACTTTGTGATTTTTTTTCCTTTCAAAAAATTTTTGAATAAAATTTTTCATAGACAATAGTCAGGGGTGCACAACCTGCGGCCCGCGGGCCACATACGGCCCCCTATCAATGTTTATGCGGCCCGCGGACGGTACATGCCAAATCCCTTCTTTCGAACTTTCTAAGTGTAGAACTTTTTCCTTTTCACAAAGTCATTAGCACCCAACTGTTTTATGACTTTCCCTGAGGTGAGAAATGGGGGATTGTTCTATAAATAAGTCTATTT